TTAAAAGTGAACTACTCCTTTAAGACTTCTCCAATACTTGATATAAATGAGTGGATAATTGAAAGTTCAATATAACAAAAACAAAATAATAATCGAAAAATAACTTAAAAATTCAATAGATCAAAATTAAATCATTCTCTGTATGAATATGAACATACATAGTTAGGGACCCCAAAAAATTACAGTTGTGTCACTTACAGTAGGTGACCACATTGTATTAGTACCTCAGTTCGCTTGGCTGTAAAGCAGCATGTGCAATACTACATCATAACAAAATATAGCAATACAAATATACCAATTGTATCACATTTCACGGCCACCTGAAAAAATAAAAATCGACAGTTGTGTCACTGTTTTATTTAGTCGCTCACCAAAACATATTGTTGAAACCAAGCAAACAGCCAAGAGACTTTCGCGAGCAGCTGTTCATCAGTGCTGTGGAGTTGACTTAGTGGATAAGTAACTGTGCATTGGTTAATAAGCTTAATGGCTGAGCGTGTCACATCCTGACCAGCTCATGTGCGGAAGAGTGTGAGAGCACAAGCTACTTTATAACTGTAAGCCTTTTAATGCCACTTCACCACAATGGCTTCCTTTAGCGACCAGGATAAAAGCCAGCACGCTGTGTGAATGAGTAAACAGCTGAATATATCAAGATATGGACAGCCCCACTGTGGCATGTGTCTTTGTGCTGTTAGCAGCAGGGGACACGCGGGATGGATGTTTGGCTACCATGAGCTGAGACAAACGCATAACAAATGGGTGATGGGAAGAGAGAGACAGAGCAAAACTTACTTTGTTTTCCATCCATGCACATGGGTTTAACGGAAGCTTCACGCTGCGAGACGCTTTCACGTCAGGGCGTCAGCACACCATGCTCGGTCTCAACGCCACTTTGACCTCCAATTTTAGGACGATGCTAGACTGCAAGAAAGCAGGAATGAATGGTTATCATCGGCTGTTCTTCGAAAGGTCTGAAGCGGTCGAAATTGCTTGAACTTTTGAGACACTTGACCTGCAAGTTAACCGCTTCGCTCCGTAGAGCTCACTGGGGGGAAAAAAGAAAAAAATCCTAACAAGTATTTCTATCTATTTGTCCAGTAAAAATTTCCACAAAAAATGTTTTAGGCCTATATGACTGCATTAAATATTAAGACTAGTCTTCAGAGAATGCATACTACTGTTCAAAAGTTTGAGGTCAGTCAGATTTTTTACATGTTTTTGAACATTAACACAATCAAAAATACCATACGATTTTGAAATATTAATACCATTCAAAATAGCTGTTTTATATTTTAATAAATTGAAAAATATCATTTATTTCTGCATCATTAGGCTGTCAAGTCAAGTATATTTATATAGCGCTTTTCACAATATAGATTGCATCAAAGCAGCTTCAAAAGATAACAACAATGTTCTTTTCATAGTGGAAAAACATCCACGTTTAGTAGAGCTGGTCAATGGTATTAAAAATTGGTTAATTAAAGGGATAGTTCACTTTGAAATCAATTTTTGGCATGTTTTAGCTTACCTCAAGGGCATCCAAGATGTAGGTGTCTTTGTTTCCGCAGTATTTTCAATTTTGATATTCTTAGGTCAAACCATTCTTGTCTGTCAGTCATATAATGGAGATATATGGTCACCACCTCAAAGAGCATGCACAGAGAAGTCTAAATTAAACATGATTTAATGACTCGTAAATGTAAGTACACATTGATGGCCTAAGACACGAAACGAGCAGTTTGTGTGAGAAAACGAGGTAAAAACGATATAAATACTGTTCGTTTTCTCACACAAACCGCTCGTTTTGTGTCTTCAATGTGTACTTACATTTGCGAGTCATTAAATCATGTTTAATTTTGACTTCCCTGTGCATGCTCTTTGAGGTGGTGACCATATACCTCCATTATATGAGTGACAGACAAGAAAGGTTTGACCTAAAAATATCAAAATTGAAACACCTACATCTTGGATGCCCTTGAGGTAAGCTAAAACATACCAAAAATTAATTTCAAAGTAAACTATCCCTTTAATTTGAATATCCCCAACTGAGCAAGCCAAAGGCAACAGTGGCAAGGAACCGAAAAACTCCATCAAGTGACCTAATGATGTCCTAAAACTCCATCAGGTGACCCAGTATCACATGATCCTTCAGAAATCATTCTAATATCAAGAAACACTGATGTAAATCGGGTGATGAAGGGGTGTGTGCTTGTTTGTGTGGGAATCTGTACAGTAGGGAACGCTAAGCTGAAAGAACGTGGCTAAAAGATTCCAACACCGATCAGTATGAGGGGGAATTACTCACAGATGCCAGACTGGGACGGGAGTGCAGTTCTGCCCTTCTGGTAACCCCACGACTCTGCCAATAGGTCACCGTGTTCCAGCCAGAGACCTGGACTCAGGGGGAGAGAGACGCCGAGACACTGCAGTCCCCTACTCACCCGTTTAACCACCTGCCAACTCCAACACAGCTGCTGCATGACCAAACAAGAACTCACATTATTAGGTTCTTCAAAGAAAGCATCAACAGGGCCTGAAGGCAATAACAACACATGCATCACCATTTTGCTTTCGATAAACCTTCCTCCCCGCTGTTCTCCTCCGTGGGCTACCTTTGAGGAGCAAACTCAATGACGTGTGACCGGAGATGATGTGAGACAGTTTCTACAGTCAGCCCTTGGACATCGAGAGGGATTGTACCTATGGATGTACCTATGGAGAGTTTTTTTTTTTTTTCCCAGAGGAAAATTGTATTGCAATGCTAAAAATAAATAAATAACATAATTTTGTTTTCCAGTTAAAATATCCAGGCTATTAGATTTTTAATAAATCATTAAGGCATGTTTTCAGAAAATACATCTGTAATAGATGTATTTTCATAATGAGTCATTTTGTCTTGTTTTCCAGTTGAAATATATAAGCGTTTTAAAATTGAATAAGACAAATTAAGAGTTGTTTTCTGAGAATATAACTTAAATTGAGTTTACTTTTTGTTTCTATTTTTTTATTTCTTATTTTAAGCATGAATCTAAAAAGTTTACACATGCAAAAGTAATAATTAAATTCTCTGAAAACAAGTCTTATTAAGGACAAGCTTGCTGATCAATTTAATTTATCTTGTTTTAAGGGGGTTTCTGTGGAAATGAAGACAAAAAATGGCGATTGAGGTAATACGTATTTAATATAATATGTCATGTCAAATAATATAAGCGAATATAATAAATTGATACACTCTAAAAAAATGCTGGGTTGTTTTAACCCAAATGTGGGTCAAATATGGACAAACCCAGCCATTGGGTTACATTTTGTTAATTACATTTTTAACCCAATGTTTGAGTTTGTCCATATTTGACCCACAATTGGATTAAAACAACCCAGCATTTTTTAGAGTGTATAATATAATAAAATATAAAACAGGCTATATAATAAATGAATACAATACAATATAATAATTTTTAAGTCGCTTTGGATAATAGCTTCTGCAAAATGAATAAATGTAAAGGCAAAATGCAATGTATCACGTTTCAAAATACATTTATAAACCATCTGCACTGTAAATAAAAAAGTTAATTTACAGGAATTTTTACAGAATTTTGCCATTTTTCATTACACAGTAAATACCTGTTATTTTACAGATTTTAGCTGTAATTTAAAGGTCCACTGTTATACTTACAGGTAATTGCTTGTATTTTGGTTTTAAATCAATTTTACTGTTTTTTTAAGGACATTGTTTGTATTTTTACAAGGTTATATGTAATTTTACAGTAAATATTGAGTATTAGAAATATTGAAATTAGAAAACAAAGAAAAGAAGGAATAACTGCAGAAATCAGCAGTCATTTACCATGTTGTCATTGAAGATCATTAAGCATGTGGTTGTCAAAGTGAGTGTTAAGGTTAAATAAATGTATTTGTATACATTGCTAAACAAAAAAGTCTTTTAATCTTGTCTTGCAAATATAAAATCTTTAAAGTCGTATAGCAATAAAGTGTTGCAAATCTTTAAGACAGTATTGTAATATTGTCAAATATACTCATTTGTGCATGCAAACCATGCCAGAAATTGATTGAGTTTGATTCTTTTGTTTCACAGAAGTTAAACTACAAGTACATTCCATTGTTCTTGAAACCCCGTTTTCCAACCGGTCCAAAATTAAGACGAGACCTGAATCATGTGATCGCCCCAGCATGTTGGGCATCCCCAGAGCCTTTGATTATAGCGCGCGGAGAGACAGACAGGACTAATTGCTGCATATGCAGCCCCCTGTGCTGCGCTCGTGCTGAGCTGTTCAATGCCACCCTGCACTAGTGCATTTCGGGATATCATTTCCACAGACTCCTACCTCTCCCAAATCCCATGACCGGAGGGTGATTTTAATAATACAACACAGACTGGTCAAACAGATCAAAAATCTCAACAAGGGTGGACAGCTGCCACACCGCACATCCAACTACTACATCTCAGACACCGTCCTCGTTCGCCCCGCCTACTCCAGCGCCACGATTGTCATGGAAATGATCCAGATGCGACCCTCACACCCTCGTCACGGCCATTAGCCGGTCGCAGGCCCTCGGAGAAGGAACCCTGGTGATTTGAGCGCCATTAAACTTGAAACAAAGCCATTGAACTTTGACCACCCATCGTCCTGGTCCCATCACAAGTCATTTGTATGTAATTAGTAGCAAAGGATGGTTGTGTTTGTCCAGGCTGGTCTGCACCATTGGATTCCCATTTAGTATCACACATGCATATATAAAACTTTGGCTTCAGCTTCCAAACCAGTGAAAGCACTTATTTCCAGAACACTTCGGCTTTTTTTGTCCATAGAAAAGAGTCCAAAACAACACTGGACCAACATTGATTTTTAGAGATTTTTAGATAAGTATCTCAGAAGAATGAATGTCATACAGGTTTGGAACGAGATGAGATAAATTGGGACTATGTTTGCTTTTAGCTGGCTAACCAATAACGCTGCAGCCCAATGAGATCTGAAGGCACTTCACGGTATTTCTTGTGTTGTAATGTTCTCCTCTCTTCACTTTAGATGATTAATGCACTGACTTGTTTAGCCTGGCCGCAGTCTCATGCTGAAAGGAACATCAATAAACATTTCCAGTGATCGATTGGCAGCATTTTCATGCAGATTACACAGTGAAATGTTAATCCATGTGTGTTGTGTATGATTGATCTCTAACGGAGGAATGACACCCACCTTTCATCTCTGAAGGCCTAAAATGCCCAATTTTGGACTGGCATTTACTGTATGTCACTGGTTTGATGCTAGTCAAGTTGGTGGACCTGCTCAGCATGGCAAACCACGAACAAGGCCTCGATATCTCTCTTTCGCACTCCCCCTCCCTCCTGATATTCTCCTGGTGAGAGAAGTACTGTGAAGCAGTTGTGCTCGTCACAGGCGAGTGGCTGCATTGTCTCTACCTCTATTACCATTCATCTCACTGCAATCCTCTCTGCTCTGCCCAAAACACAGCTTAGTGCTGTCCCCTCCACCACGGCAGGGGGGCTACGCAAAGTGAGTCTCAGCCTCTTGAGCCTCGACGAGCTTGAATAAGCATGGATAAGCCGAAGAGGCAGGCCGTGGACCACCTGGAGCAGCACACACTGCGCGTACACTCGGTGATGGAGGCTGGCTGGGAAAGGTGGATACGGTGTGTGGCTTACATGACAGCCTCAGACTAAGTTTATACTCTGAACCTTGGTGGACAGGCACCTCAGAGGACAACCAGCCCTTCAGAATGGCCAGATGGACACTTTCGTCGGGCCAGATTGGGTATTTTCGGCACGTATTTCTGGTCTTCTTGTGAATATGATTCATCGCTGCAAAAGAACAAAATGCCTTATTAAAGGAGTAGTTCACTTTTTAAAGAATTTTTGCTGATAATTTACTCACCCCCATGTCATCCAAGATGTCCATGTCTTTCTTTCTTTAGTCGAAAAGAATTTAAGGTTTTTGATGAAAACATTCCAGGATTTTTCTCCATATAATGGACTTCAAAGGTAACCAAATGGTTCAAGGTCCAAAAGACAGTTTCAGTGCAAACTGCAAACTGTTCAAAGGGCTTTAAACGATTCCAGACGACGAATAAGGGTCTTATCTAGCGAAACGATCGCTCATTTAAAAAAAAAAAAACAAGTATAAGTTTTATAAGCTCAAATGCTCTCCTTGCTCTGTTCTGTGATGAGCGTTCGTGACTCTCCTGTTCAAACTCGTTCATCAAAATGAACAAATCTTTTCCAGTCAACTCGTTCATTTCGTTCGTTGAAAAAGATTCATTCATTTTGATAAACAAGTTTGAACAGGAGAGTCACGAACGTGCATCACAGAACAGAGCAAGGAGAGCATTTGTGCTTATAAACTTGTTTTTTTGTTTTTAAATGAGCGATCGTTTCGCTTGATAAGACCCTTATTCATCGTCTGAAATCATTTAAAGCCCTTTGAACAGTTTGCAGTTTGCACTGAAAGTGTCCTTTGAAAAAAACGTTTTTTTAAAAGTGAACTACTCCTTTGATTCCTGAAGGATTAAATCAAAACACATGCACTCTACATTCATTCAGGTGCAAAATATGAATATTCATATACAATTACAGACAGATAGACATAGGCATATATGTATATATCATTATAATGCCATATTATATAAATATAATGTTACATTTATACATCATAATACTGATAAAGAAAATGATCTTATGGGGCTTTTTTTGTGTGTAGACAATGACAAAAAAGAATACCCGGTGAATCATTGCAAACCCACAATCCTCTTCCACTGACCTATAGTCTCACGATCAAACTCTCATGCCAGTGAGGTTAAACATCATGAAATGGATTTGGAGAAAAACGCAGCCCCGGTCAGTGTGAAAATAGATAAACAGTGTATTCAGATCAGTGACCAGTAGCATTGGTACCTCATAAATCCAGAATGTGTCTTGCTGGGCAAATGCATTGGGAGTGATGAGCTGTATGATTTAGTGCCACCCGCTCTGCTCTCTCTGTCTGTCTGAGCAGCGCACACAGACGCAGAGCCCTTTTCATAAGCCCGGCCGGATGACATGATTCATGGCTCTAGTCCCAGCTGTTCCAGGAGCAGCACAGACCAGCCACTGCTGGGTTTGCTGGTTTATTCATGCTGTCTGGCGTAGTAATGACAACCTGCAAACACTAGATCAAAACCTTCCTGACTGAATGTACATTTTAACAGTTTACAGATTGATAGGGTTCGACATGGAATTGAATTAGGACCTATCTGTTCGGAAAGCCCAGCATGACTAATCGTTTGTCGTGAGGCCAGGTGTCGTGAGGCGGCATACGAGAATACACTGGTTTAGTTGGTGTAGTGCGTCACATGATGATGGCCGAGCATATTGTGTACAAAATAGCAGTTTGACCAATGATGATACCACCATACAAGCATCCAAAACAACACATGTGCTGGTTATTTCAACAGAGATGTTGGGTGGTTATATAGTGTTTGAAATCAAATGAGCCTACAGCCAAAAGATATTCTGATCCCATTAGTCAATGGCTTTTGATTAATAGTCTATAGGACTTGATCTCACGGTATACGGTATGTTACGAGGTGACAATTTCATATGAATTTACACAAATTCATATGAAAAAATGCAAACATAATGCATAATGTATAACATTCCAATGAGATTGTACAATTTAGCCACAAAATGTAAAATAGTTACAAACTGGCATGAGATTGTGTTGGACTTTTCACCTGTTTTATAATCCATCCAGTTATAATACTTATTTACATATAACAAAGTGCACAATATGAGGTATTATTATTTAAATCTGTAATGTAAATGGTTTAATAATTGATTTAAAGTAGCAAACGGCACTAATAGAGTTTTTATTTTTTGTGGCTTACAATAATATCATTTCATTATACACTGTAATACTATCTAACTCTCTTTCTGTGGATCTACAACCATAACAGATGAATAATTTCTCAAGAGTGGATCTCTCAGGCTCGGAGCTGTGTGAGAACCCTTTGTTAACCTCTTGGTATCTTGTCTACATAATTCACTATTCTATTGGGTTTCGTCTGTAAGTAGAAAACTGTGTCAACTGTGTCAAGACCGACAAAGCAAGGGGGAAGATCCTTTTATTAGCCTATAAGTCTTCCTAACCTCATTTAAAGATCTCCCGAGTCCAACCAAGCCCCTAAAAACTCTCTCAGTGTATGTTCACAGAAAAATAAAGGAACAAAATTTAAAGCAACAGTTCGTTCAAAAACTGCAATTCCGTCATCATTTACTCACATTCGTGTCGTTCCAAATCAGTTTGATTTCCTTCCGTAGAGCACAAAACAAGAAACTCTAAATAATGTACAGTACTGCTCGCTTTTTCCCCAAATGCAGTCAAAGTGAGTGGGATTTACAGTAATGATGCAAAAGGGTCCCAAAATGGTCCATTTGACTGCACTATATTTCAAGTTGAAGAACTGCAGAACCGGTTCGGGACAATTCCTGAACAAATCAGAGAGACCCATTTTGTGAATTGATCAAATTATCTGAATCATAGTGCAAAGATCAGACATAGCTTTCTCACCATCACTCATAAATCACTAGGAGACTTTTAAGATTAGTGAATAACAAGCTAAATTGTGTTTAATTTTCTCACAAAAAAGGTATCACATGACTTGGAAAATAGTACACGAGTCATACATATCCCTTTTATGGTGCTTTTGCATCCTTTTGGAACCTTAAAAGTGCAAATTCATTGTAACTGCATGGAAAAGAGTCTATTCTCATCATGTTCTGCAAAGGGGAAAAACTAGTTTCAAATGACATGAAGCTGAGTACATGATGACAAATGATTTTCCAGAGCTTATGTAGAGCAACATCTTAACACGTTTATATTATAAACGTCATTCTATTTCTTGTCAAAATGTATGCATTTCTTGAAAAAACGATTGAAAAGATGCTCGTTTTCTTCAGCTGAGTCACAGGAGAGATTCAAAGACATTGATTGGTTGCTTGATCTCCATCGCTCCTTCGTTTAATAAAAGGATCACGTCACTTTTGTTCCTAAGAGGTTGAACTAACACAGAGGTCATAATCAGGGTTGGCGGTCCGCAATGAATCTCCCCATAAAAATATTCATATTCACAGCTTTATGTTACTCATTAGCTCTTGCCAGCAGTCAAGGGTAACTACTCACCGCTATATAAAACCTGCCTCTCCCAATCCTGGCATGCCTACAATAAACAAACAATAGGAAAAAAAAGTGACTCCATCCATAAATTAAAACAACAACAATACTGAATGCCTGCTGGGATGCAAAGAAGTGATTGGCACACACTTAGGTAATTTTGTATTAGAGTTCTCCATTTACATAGCGCCAAGCAGTTGCATATTAATGTCAATTAATTATAAAGCTGTGATTTGCACTACATTAATAAACCACCCGTTTAAAAGCCTAAAAATGTATCGCTATCTATCTATCTATCTATCTATCTATCTATCTATCTATCTATCTATCTATCTATCTATCTATCTATCTATCTATCTATCTATCTATCTATCTATCTGTAAGTCCCTTCCCATCCCCAACTGTCTGCCTATCTATTCCTCCATCATTCCATCCATCTATCTATCACATCCATCCATCTTACCTATTTAAGAGCCTGCCCATCTATCCATCAAATTACCTAACATCTGCCTATCTATTCCTCCATCCATCCATCCATACATCCATGAACTTACCTAACTGTCTGCCTATCTATTCCTCCATCCATCCATCCATCCATCCACCAAATGACCTAACTCTCTGCCTATCTACTCCTCAATCCATCCTTCCATCAACTTACCTAACTGTCTGACCATCTATTCCTCCATCCATCCATCCATCCATCCATCCATCAACTTACCTAACTGTCTGACCATCTATTCCTCCATCCATCCATCCATCCATCCATCAACTTACCTAACTGTCTGACCATCTATTCCTCCATCCATACATCCATCCATCCATCCATCCATCAACTTACCTAACTGTCTGACCATCTATTCCTCCATCCATACATCCATCCATCAACTTACCTAACTGTCTGACCATCTATTCCTCCATCCATCCATCCATCCATCCATCAACTTACCTAACTGTCTGACCATCTATTCCTCCATCCATCCATACATCCATCCATCAACTTACCTAACTGTCTGACCATCTATTCCTCCATCCATCCATCCATCCATCCATCCATCCATCAACTTACCTAACTGTCTGACCATCTATTCCTCCATCCATACATCCATCCATCAACTTACCTAACTGTCTGACCATCTATTCCTCCATCCATCCATCCATCCATCCATCAACTTACCTAACTGTCTGACCATCTATTCCTCCATCCATACATCCATCCATCAACTTACCTAACTGTCTGACCATCTATTCCTCCATCCATCCATCCATCAACTTAACTAACTGTCTGACCATCTATTCCTCCATCCATCCATCCATCCATCCATCCATCCATCCATCCATCCATCCATCAACTTACCTAACTGTCTGACCATCTATTCCTCCATCCATACATCCATCCATCAACTTACCTAACTGTCTGACCATCTATCCCTCCATCCATACATCCATCCATCAACTTACCTAACTGTCTGACCATCTATTCCTCCATCCATACATCCATCCATCAACTTACCTAACTGTCTGACCATCTATTCCTCCATCCATACATCCATCCATCAACTTACCTAACTGTCTGACCATCTATTCCTCCATCCATACATCCATCCATCAACTTACCTAACTGTCTGACCATCTATTCCTCCATCCATACATCCATCCATCAACTTACCTAACTGTCTGCCTATCTATCTATTCCTCCTTCCATCCATTCATCCTTCCTTCCAGGCTTTTAAAAACTTTTTTCAACTTTTATTCAAGGTTTTGACAACATCAAAGTTTGTCTCCCTGAACTGTCCTTTTCTTCTTGATTTCTGAACGAGTTTTGAACATGTGTCTTTAGCGATCAAAAAGAGTCCTCTAAGCTCAGTTTAACACGTGTACCTCATTTAAATCTTTCAAAAAGTATTCCACAGATATTTACCCAGAAAATCTGCAGATTCTGAGCATTCACCGTTCATCATGCACCATAGGTCATGTTTTTTTGGGGGGGTTTTTTCACTCCAACACTCCAAAAGGAAATATGTGTTTTATGCAAATGGCATATTATAAAAGAGACAAAACCTTTGCATTTTCAATGCTTTAAAAATACATTGTGTCTTTTATGCTGGAAAGGTATTTGTGGTCTGAAAAACCCACAGGGGCCGCATTTACACAACCCCGCTCTTCAATACGGTGACCTCTCTCACTATTGTCTGTGAGAACAAACAAAAGGCCTAGAGTCCCCTGCACACACTACCCATAAATCACTGAAACACTGAACGCAGGCTGAGCCTGAGAGCCAGACGGAGCCAAAGAACTATGGATACAAGACTGCCATCTATTGTTAGAGAGGAGAACATTGGCTGAAACTAGGTATGAAGGTTACTTTTCAATTGCTAAGAAAATGTGCATGAGTCTGCACTTCTGCAGTAAATTCTACGGGCCTTTATTTTCCAACTCCACTGAAGCCAAAACAGTTTCAGTAATATTGTCAGAGCAAAGCACAGCCAAAACTCACAGTTACAAACACAAAATAAAGCAGAAGTTCTGCGGAAGAACAAGAGTGTTGCATTTAACACTGTCACACCTAAACACATGCTTGCAAACATCAGGCTGACTGTTTACAAAGCTTTTTTTCAAGAGGTTTCTGTTCTGCTACTTATTTTTTATTCTTTTTTTTTTTTAAAGGGATTGGGAAATGTTATGAGCTGGATTCAAACTTGCATTGACCACTTAAGTGTCATAGCACAATATTTCAGAGCATGTGTTTGCATCCATAAAAACTCTCCATACTTAATTTGATCATTTATACCTCATTGTAAATGATTCCAAAAATATACAGTCCCAACCTGTCAATGTTCACATCATATTTTATCCAAAAACCAAAAGAGAAAAAGCAGACCATTCAAATTTTTTGCATTGTGACATTTTTATGCAAATTATGTAGTTTTCCCCTAAAATTCCCATTTGATTTGGGCATTACAGCAGTGCTAATTAATTTTTCACAATACAGAAATGAAAACTTTGGGGGGAGGATGTAAAATAATTGACTTTTTATCCTCTTAATTTTGTGCTGAAATGTTCTTTCTTGACAGGTTTCAACAGTTAAAGGAGTAGTTCACTTTTAAAAAAAACTTTTGCTGATAATTTACTCACCCCTATGTCATCCAATTTATCCAAGTCATTCTTTCTTCAGTCGAAAAGAAATGAAGGTTTTTGATGAAAACATTCCAGGATTTTCTCCATATAATGCACTTTACTGGTAACCAAACGGTTCAAGGTCCAAATGAGAGTTTCAGTGCAAACTGTTCAAAGGGCTTTAAAGGATTCCAGACGATGAATAATGATCTTATCAAGCGAGTCAATTCGTTCGTTGAATGAACCAAATGACACGAAAAAAAGATTTGTTCATTTTGATAAACGAGTTCGAACAGGAGAGTCACAAACGTGCATCACAGAACAGAGCAAGGCGAGCATTTGAGCTTATAAAACATAAACTTTGTTTTTGTTTTTTTAAACAAGCCATCATTTCGCTTGATAAGACCCTTATTCATCGTCTGGAATCGTTTAAAGCCCTTTGAACAGTTTGCAGTTTGCACTGAAACTGTCTTTTGGACCTTGAACCGTTTGGTTACCACCAGTAAAGTGCATCAGCAAATTATCAGCAAGTTTTTTTTAAAGTGAACTACTCCTTTAAAGGGTTAGTTCACCCAAAAATGAAAATTCTGGCAGTATTTACTCACCCTCATGTTGTTCCAACCCCGTAAGACCTTCGTTCATCTTCGGAACACAAATTAAGATATTTAAGATATTAAGATCGCTCCTGCATACAGTCCATAGGCTTCTTGAGGGACTGGCTCTTGCTGTCCCCGAAAAGTCATTAAAGACATCGTTAAAATAGTCCAAGTGACTACAGGGGCTCAATCTTAAGTTTATCAAACGACGAGAACACTTTTTGTGCGCAAAAAACAACAACAAAAATAACGACTTTATTTCAACTATTCACTTCCTTCTCCATGGGCCTGTAGTCAGTTAAGTTAAGCTTACGCTATTAAACTAGTAACCTGACTCGCGCAGAGGGAGAAATAAACGAATAGTTGAAATAAAGTCGTTATTTTTGTTGTTTTTTTGCCTACGGACTGTATGCAGGAGCGATCTTAATATCTTAAATATCTTTATTTGTGTCCCGAAGATGAACGAAGGTCTTACGGGGTTGGAACAACATGAGGGTGAGTAAATACTGACAGAATTTTTCATTTTTGGGTGAACTAACCCTTTAATGTTCTAGTGGGGCAAAACGCAGAAAAGCATGAGCTCAGAAAGCAAATATATGCTCTAAGATTTTTTAACATAGATCAACTCTCTTGTTTTAGAGAGAGGAAAAGATACCAAAATAAGGAAACAGAATAGAGTAAGGTACGTCGTTGCTGGAATCGGGGAGGGCTGGGGCCGTGCAGGCAAGTTGAACAAAGATTATTGTTTTTATGTAAATATTTCCCATTTGTAAGAGAGCTCTAATTCAAGTTGTTCAGAGCATGACATAATAAAACAAAACAAACCATGAATTATTTGTGACTGTGCGCCTGTGTGGGCGAAAAAAGAAATGATGTAACAAACAATGGAGCTTCTGAAAGCTTTTATTTAGGAGGGATGAATCCCTGTCAGCTGTGACAGTATGGAGGAGTGAATCTGTCATTCACCTCAATGACAGCGTTCCCCAGACAGCGGCTTTCATCTGTGACGGTGTCACGGTTCGAGCTTTCCTTCAGGTCTGCCGCGCTAAACGAGTAAACAGAGCGCATGACCAGGCGACAGGGAATGATCTAAAAAACCAGGGCGCATGTTACCTGTTGCCAACTATGGAACAAAGTCGAGTTTTGCACGACATCAGGGTGAGCAAATGAAGGATAAACATGGGATTCTGAGGAGATTCTGTGCACCAGCTCATCGTGAGGAACAGATCCAAGACATATAGGGGCCTGAATCACTGCTCCCCACCCCCACTGGTCGTACAGGAAGTGGTATGATAAAAATAATGAGTCTGGAAGCTGCTAGCAGGGATAATTACGCGGCGAAGAAAGGGAGATGACAATGCAGCTCGCCGCATTAAAGCCGCGATAAGAGGACGGCCTAATCCACAGGACTATGGAGGGATTAAGGTTGTGAGCTCCCCGTCTGGTCTCGAGATGAGAAGGTTAACCGGCCTGTCCTTTTTCACAGTCTTCTCTCTTCTCTGTCTCAATGTTCTCCAGCTCTGTAATTCCATTAGAAGGAGGGCAATCTCTTTATCCCGGGGAGCAATGGAGAAGGGGAATGCCACGCGGCTTACGAAGAGTATCCACGGACGTCGCTTTCGCCGAGTAATCTGATGAAAGCGGTGATAAAACACATTTGAACAGCCGATCGATTTCTCGCAGTCCACCCTGGCTAATGCATGTCAGCGACGGCTGTCAATGCATACAAATTAGATATTCATTATATTAATTACATATTCAAGAAGACAGAAAGACATGAATCTATGACATGCAATGGCCCTTATTCATCGCCTGGTGTCGTTTAAAGCCCCTTGAAGCTCTCATTTGGACATTGAACCGTTTGGTTCCCAATGAAGTCCATTATATGTTTTCAACAAAAAACTTCATTTCTTTTCGACTGAAGAAAGAAAGACATGGACATCTTGGATGACATGGGGGTGAGTAAATTATCAGCAAGTGAACTACTCCTTTAATGACCCCAAACTTTTGATCATCCAAATGTGCTGATGCTGTGCATTATATCTGTTTACAGTTGTTCTACATGGCTCATACGTTGTTGTTTTTTTCCAGATCACTTCTGAAATCTGAGACGTATTTGAGCACATCTTGTTTCAATGTTTAGACATAGACAGGCAAACTCAACAGCCTCTCCCCTCCACTTGAAACACATTCAAAACTGAAATCTATCACACATGGACACATTGTCTCTCATGACTCAAATAGCTCTTCATATGACATCCTCAGTGCAATGTTTTCCATAAGCTAATTTAATAAGGTCCCTTTGGAGTGTAAAGCACTCTCAACGAAACAGTGATAGTTAGTTTTGGAAATATTAGGCATTCATAATCAGACATTTCACACTGTTAATGTATAAAACAAGGATTGATAATGAAACAAAAAAGTTAGTACTACTAAAATCCCCTTATAATAGAGCAGCTAAATAATACAATTTCACCATTTAAGCTCCAAAAAGTATTAATGTATTTTTAAGATTTGTTATAGAAAGTCATACTGGTTTGTAACGAGTATATAACAGTATGAGTAAATGATGATGACAGAGCTTTTGGATGTGATATTCCTTTAGGGGCTCAAACTTATAAGATTGAGGTGCTTTATCATGGGGCGGATTCATGGTTTGGATGACAGCCTTTTAATTTGCGCCGCCTGTAATCATAACTGGCTTGAGTTGATCATGATGTAATGACCTACACGATGGCCTTGATAGATAATGTGATTCATTCATTCTCTGCTTCCATCCTCTACTACAGATTAACGCAGAGAAAAGGCACAGAGGAGATGAGAGTATGATGAATAGATGAGATGAGAAAGACAGAATTTGATGGGGTCCTCAGTCCACCGAGAGTAGGTGTGACTAGGAATAAGCATCGCCCAGACTCAGGCAGTGGGCCGGACACACATACACACACGCACACAGATGAATGACAGAGGTACTTCACATGAGAGCCTACTGCTGTTGAAGTACCAGGTGAAGCATGTGTAACTGAGCTGTACGCCAGCACCCAGACACAGACTGAATAAAGGTATGAGGAGAAAGGATGAGCTATATGAAATATCACGGACTGAACAAATCAGAAGATGAGAATGTCTAAACTATAATGATGAAAAAACGTGTGTAGGATGAAATTATATATATATATCTCGACTTTGCAAGTAATGGACTCTACAAGACCCCTGAAGGTGTCCTGTGGGATCTGACATCAAGACATTAGCAGCAAATCCTTCAAGTCCTGTAAGATATGGGGTGAAGCCACTGTGGATCGAACTTGTTGGTCCAGCACATCCCACAGATGCTCAATTGGAATTTGGAGGCCAGGGCAACATCTTCAACTCTTCATCATGTTCCTCAAACCATTCCTGAACATTGTGTGACACACCATTGTCATGTATTTGTCACCATCCATGAAACACCATTGTCATGAAGGGGTGTACCTGGTCTCAAATTTACATCCACATGGGTTTCCCCAGAAGAACATTGCCCAGAGCATCACACACCTTCCACCGGCTTGTCGTCGTCCCAGGTAAACGGCGCTCATGTACACGGCCATCCACGTGATGTAAAAGAAAATGGGACTTATCGGACCAGGCGATCTTCTTCAAATCTTCCATGGTCCAGGGTAATATGAAAGCTTATATTTTACTGTAATTAATTAACTGAATTGTTGCATAAACAACAGACAGACAAATTCAAGTCATCTAGATGACATCTGCGGCTTACAGACACTTCATATTGTTGCCTGTGCGTGAAAGTATACTGTACCTGAAATCATATTTCCAAATTATTAGAGGCAGTTAACCAATCAAACGGCAGCTGTCTGGAAACTGATCCGCCCTTACACATCTCCTCACTGACCTGCACACAGCATCGAGCGACCTGTGAGAACATTGCTAATCATTCTGCTCCATTTAACCAGAATATTTGGCCCTGAACTAACAGTCCACAGGCCTCTGATTGGGCATGTTGTTATTAAAAATGTACAGGAAATGAAATCAGTGAGCCGTATAGCCATGTCGAACCAATAGGTCACATTTTGTCACAAGTTTCAATCTCTTGTGATATGGCAATGTTTAGTTTATTATACATTTAAAACAAGACAATGAGGTCACACTCATGACCTGTATGGTCTGACAACTGGAGTTGTGGTACAAGTTTGAGTCTGGCTTGCAACATATTCTGTTCTATATATTTTTTTTAATATACATCAAATAATCTTGAAAAAAACACTGTTAATAATAACATTGATGATATATATATATATATATATATATATATATATATATATATATATATATATATATATATATATATATATATATATTCCCAGAGCACCAAATAAACATATGATTTCTGAAGGATCATGTGACACTGAAAACTGCACTCTTAGAAGAAAAGGTTAAAAGGTTCTATCAGCGCTATGTATTTGGAACCCCTAAAAGGTTCTATACAAAACCTTTGTAACCAGGAAAAAGGTTCTATATTGAACCTTTTGGGTTCATTCATTATCATTTGTTTTGTTCTTTCCGGATTAAATATTTCATATTATTGACAAACATCAAGTTACAAAATGTATTTATGAATGCATGTGAATGATCACAAAATTCCAGATATGGGGGTTAGAAAATGTATATATTTATATCATTTTATGTAGTTAATCAATATCACACGAAGAGTACCATTTCAGTTTTTCTCCTCCAAAAATCAGCATGATTAAAATGTGATATTAATTTACTACAACAGTTTAATAAACAACTACAAAATGTTGCAAAATAATGGAATATATGAATGAATAATAGCCTATAAAGAACCTTTGTGACAAAAGGGTTCTTTCTTGTCATTATAGAACCTTTTTTTGCATAAAAGGTGAACCCTATGCTTCATATATAGAACCCCAATGAACCCTTTTTTCTAAGAGTGTGGAGTAATGATGCTGAAAATTCAGCTTTGCATCACAGGAATACATTATTTCAAAAAGTTATTTTAAATCGTAATAATTTTTCACAATACTTTTGCAGCCTTGGTGAACAAAAGAACAAAAACATTACAAAAAATTGATTCAGAAGGCAACATGATTTTTTTTTCTGCGTACCTCTTAGAATAACATCCACATCATAGCTTTCACTTTGCTACGATACTGTCTAGCTCACTAGGTTATGGAAAACCTATGAGTATCTTCCAAAAGATGATTATCTACCCTAGGAAAGACACATATTGACTAAAGTCTCATCAAACGAGGGTTGCCACAGGTTGGACATTTCTGCGCATTCATTACTCAAGTGATGTTGGAAGTAAACTACATCTGTGGAACAGCACGTTGATGCTGGTTGTCTAGATATCTAGCCTCAAGGCCTTTAGAAAAACCCTACGGGCGATTTTCTGTCTCTGCACAGCAAGAAGGCTCTGACAGATGTTTTCATTCATGTGAAGAGTTACCAGGATGTGCCGGGTCATTTTTTTCAGCAACTCTCGAGTGTTTGAAATGAGCTTTCCCAGTGCATGGATACACAGCCTCAAGCTGTTATAATACCAGTGCAAGGAACACTGGATTTCTAGTTGTCCTGCAGTGCCTTTCAAGACAAATCCAGCCTTACATGTACAAAAATGAACTCTCGAGTCAGGATAAACCAAGCAGTGCTAATATCTCCTTGAGTTTAACAAGTGCAGTGTTTATTTACCTTCGATTAGTTCTACCGGATTGCAGAGACAAATTCGTCATTGACAAAAGATAATAACAGTAATAAAAGAAAAATCGAATAACACAGTCTTCCATTGTGTCTAATTACTTTTGCTTTTGATGGTTTCCTCCGAGTTTTGACAGTTTTATTAACAATGTCTGTCTTAAATTTTCAATAGACATACACCAGCTAGAAACACATTTCTAGTTACCTCACCTGCTCTTTATAAACAGTGTTTCCACACTCACATGCCGTTCCAAACCTGTGATTTTTCTTCTGTGTAAAACAAATTCTTTAGTTCACTTTTGAAAAACTTTTGCTGATAATTTACTCACCCCCATGTCATCCAAGATATCCATGTCTTTCTTTCTTCAGTCGAAAAGAAATTAAGGTTTTTGATGAAAACATTCCAGGATTTTTCTGCACTTTATTGGCCACCAAATGGTTCAAGGTGCAAAAGACAGTTTCAGTTCAAACTGCAAACTGTTCAAAGTCGACATGAAACTGCACTGAAACTGTCTTTTGGACCTTGAACCGTTTGGAAGTGCATATGGAGAAAAATCCTGGAATGTTTTCATCAAAAAACTTAATTTCTTTTCGACTGAAGAAAGAATGACACGGACATCTTGGATGACATGGGGGTGAGTAAATTATCAGCCAAAGTTTTTTTTTAAAGTGAACTACTACTTTAATATGTGGGGGAGTGGTGTTTCCACCAGGAAAAGTGCAGGTGCTCCCAATGGCCTTGTCAATCTACTCCAAAGACAAATACAGCCCCCTACCTGAGGCTTCAGCCCCACCTAGCCCTATTGTTAATGCAGCCCAGCCCAGTCACCATCAAAGCCAACACAGCTGCTAGAATTACTCCCAGGTTTGAAGTGGTCACGGAAGTGTCCATTAGATAATATCCCCAGATTGGACATTTGGACAGGCTTAGATATGTTATGTGGTCTGGCTGTGAGCCTGTGATTTCCACATTATGCGGTGGGGTTTATGTCTGACCAAACCAAAACCAAGGTGGTTTTGTGGGTTGGTAGTGAGCTGTGGCCCATCTGTCAGACTATTTTGTGAAGTACTTCTAAGGGCTTCAGCGGAGCTTTGGTAATGGTCTAGCTGGCATTCCTCCCACTCTTTTCATTAAGGATAAGATGTTTGTTTTGCCCAGTTTGATTACAAACCGAGTTTCCAAATCCAGCTGCTTGTTTTGCTTATGAAATATGGTCTGACAAAATCAATAGATGTTGTGTGGTGGAAATTCAATCTTTTTTCCCCTAGTTATCAAGAATTGTTTTAATGCATTTGACTCACAGAAACACAAAGCCAGGGATGGATTTTGGTCCGGGATCCAGTTCCTGCGGGTTTCAGACTGCCAAGGGCCTCCAATGGAATCTGACAACCACTCTAAATTGAAAATATTGAATTAAATAAATTGCATAGAACTGTGAGCTGTAACATGAAAGGAAAACGCAAAAGAAACTATTCGTGAGACCCACCAGGTCGCGTTGACTTCCTGTCATCCGAGGCCTTCCATTAAGCCTTCACGGTTCCACTTGAAATTAGTGGAGTGAGGTGGGTGTGGATGGCACAGGAAGGGAGGCCCAGTTTAAACGGGACGCAGTGGGAGAAGAATGGGCTCTGTCAGCCCACAGCACGCTTTAATTAGGGGTCTATTGTCGGCCGTGTTCCCCGGTGAGGAAGACTCTGAAACGAAAACAGCAGAAAATGGGTTCAGGCAGTTGAAAGAGGCTGAGTAAAAAGAGGAGCTGACTGTGTGGTGCTCAAACGGATCTCTTCGCCGCGCTAGGGCTAAGTACACATTTCAGGCGGAATCAAGCACCTACCTGAGATTTCATGGGTTGTTTCCGTCAGGTCGTATCGCTCGTGGCGTGTAAGTGCTTAACGTGAGGCCAGAGTTTGTGAGTGTATCAAACATGTTCTGTAGAGCACTTCAAATGCTGACTGCTCCTAGAAACAAGTGCAGCAGTGGGACAAGACAGTCAACACAAGAGTGAAAGATTACACTAAAACCTCAGGAGAAAATCTGGTATGTATTTCGTCTTCTCTCAGAAGAAAAGAAAATATTGATTCCTCTCAAACTGTGATTATACATATCCGACCAGGCATAAAACATGAATAAATAACCTCAAAGTGTTGAACTAGGATGAAGAATCAGATCTAGAGGGAGTATTGATCATTTCCTTGTCATAATGAAAGATAAATACGTTGTATATTTAAAGATTAAAGAGAGATTTATCAGTATCAAACGCTGCCAATCATAGGTAACCGCCACTCTCGACGCATCCGAGTTTCGACGTCGCTTTTTTCGCTATGGTAAACACGCGAAGTGCATGGAAAGGTGGTAAAGAAAGGGGATCGGGCAGGTGTTCATTAAAACTTCTTCCTGAGCCTGAGAAGAAGTGCGACAGCGTGTGTTCGTTTAAGAGGCGCTCTTGTGCTGAATAACACGCGCCTGTACGACAGCACGCGCTGTAATTGGGTATGACACGGGATCAATGCGGACACGTCAGGATGCAAAGATGTCATTTTCTAACCTGATGCTTTCAAGCACGTCTCCGCCGTTCGTTACTCAGGTGCCAGTTGCTGTGGAAACACAGTCCTTCCTCTCTTTTTTTTATATATTTTTATTAAGATGCAGCGGAGAACATTGAAGCTTTTCTCCCCTCACAGCAGTGCGGGATTTCTTATTAAAAGATACAAGACGTGCAGTCACGCTAATTGAAACCTGCCTGTCAAACGTCCTATTACTTCGGGGCCATAGGATGTCAATGTGGGACTGAATTCATTGCTTTCCTAAAGTTCAGAATAAAGTTTCTAAGTTTAGTTCTGTAGTTCTACAAGCTGTAAACAAGCAAATATCTCAATCAATGTAGCCTAGTCTTATTTTATATTCTTTATCTCGCCTTTAGGCCTAATTTGTTATGGCAAATGTATATATAGTTTCTCTTCACTGACGCTCAACACATTTGTTATGGCAAATTTTTATATAGGCATGTAGAATGTTATACATGTTAGGATATTGCCTAACGAACACCACCGCCATTATGCTTCTGACAACTCTTTGGTCTTTATTTAAAATCATCAAGTTGGAAAGTTTGAGTTCGAATATAGTCTGGTGTTTAATGTCCCAGACAACCTCTGTAGTCTCATTTAGCAAGCATCCTTTTCAAGACACATAAAAGCTTATAATTGAGTATTACCAATGTTTCGTTTTTTCAAATGTCATTCAATTGCAGTCAACATAAATGCTACAACAATAATAGAAAACTTTTATCATTGGTAAGGGTGAACTTCACTGAGCTTGAGCAACGTGGGTGGCGGTGACCCATTCCTGGTATGGAAAGCTTACTTTTCACAATCCAAAGGATTCCAGATAAAACTTCCAAATATTCAGTTTCCCTCAGAAATGTCATTCCAAATATAAAATGGAGGTGAATGCCATGTTGACCTTAAGTGTCTTGATCATGGTCATATGCCGACAAATTAAAGACTTAAGGGTTTGAATCCACAACTGTTTAGCTTAATGCACTATTGCTCTTCTAAATGATTACAAGCCATGACCAATGCAATGACTCACCTGAGCTCTTACCCACAGCACATGGTTGAAAATCCACCACACCTGAGAACTGGAGAACCTTGGATGCACAGTTTGGTTTGAAATGTGCTGTGGACAGAGACGCATTAGGAGTGCATTTTCAGAAGTGCTGGGTACAAACTTGTCAAACTGTGCAGCCTATCTGCTCAGCCCGTACATAAACGCATCGATCCGCTAATTAGGATTCTTCAGTGTCTAGTGGTAGAATAGGTTACAGGTTCTAATCCGTCCTCGGTATAGTTTTTTTCTCTCTCATCAAACTGAATATGTTCATCAGTGGTTACAGTCTATATCAAGCAGGGACACATTTGTGTGCATTTTGTTTTGTGATTTCACAGGAATGAATAGAGTTGCAACTGCAATAGATTGAAGAGCGCGTCCGAGTGAAGACTGTGCGCGCCACAAGCGAACACTGTATCAATGACACTGATAGCAGCGGACACAAGCTCTCAGCTACAGTAGTGCCTCATTGCAGTACACAAGATCCAGGGGGTGGAGTCGGATTCCAGATCTGAGGGGTGGAGTTGGGTAGGTTTAGGGTGGGTTTTAGGATCAGGGGGTGGAGCTGAGTAAGTTTAGGGGTGGGTTTAAGGATCAGGGGTGGAGCTGGGTAAGTTTAGGGGTGGGTTTTGGGATCAGGGGGTGGAGCTGGGTAAGTTTAGGGGTGGGTTTAAGATCAGGGGGTGAAGCTGGGTAGGTTTAGGGAATCAGGGGGTGGAGCTGGATAGGTTTAGGGGTGGGTTTAAGGATCAGGGGGTGGAGCTGGGTAAGTTTAGGGGTGGGTTTTAGGATCAGGGGGTGGAGCTGGGTAGGTTTAGGGGTGGGTTTAAGGATCAGGGGGTGAAGCTGGGTAGTTTAGGGATCAGGGGGTGGAGCTGGGTAGGTTTAGGGGTGGGTTTTGGGATCAGGGGGTGGAGCTGGGTAATGTTTTAGGGGTGGGTTTAAAAGGATCAGGGGGTGGAGCTGGGTAGGTTTAGGGGTGGGTTTTAGGGATCAGGGTGGAGCTGGGTAAGGTTTAGGGGTGGGTTTAGGGATCAGGGGTGGAGCTGGTTAGGTTTTAGGATCAGGGGTGGAGCTGGGTGGTTTAGAGGGTGGTTTAGGGATCAGGGGTGGGAGCTGGTTAGGTTTTAAGGATCAGGGGGTGGAGCTGGGTGGTTTAGGGGTGGGTTTTTAGGGATCAGGGGTGGGTAGCTGGGTAGGTTTAGGGTTGTGTTTTGGGATCAGGGGATGCAGCTGGGTAGGTTTAGGGATAAGGGGGTGGAGCTGGGTTGGTTTAGGTATATATATAGGTGGGAGGAGTTGGATCTGGATCTGACTCCTCCCCGTGGATTTCATGTTCTTTAGTGAGGACCATCTCCTCAGCTGGAGTTCAAAACAAAACATTTTAGCGCTAGATCTCTTATTTAAGAGCAAACTAAATAAATGCTCTGCTAGTTAACTGGGGATGTTTTATTTGTATTAGGTACAGCCGTGCCTCAATGTTTCCAAAAGTGGTGGGAACATGAAGAAATCTGGTGGGGACGGGAACCCACCGTCCCCATCAAAATCGACGGCTATGCTTGAATGGTCACAGCAGTTAATAATCAATTCCACTAGCATTAAAAGGCCATGAGAAAGTTTAGCAGATAAAGCCACTGTAGCATGGTGATGAAGGCAATAAGAGGGGCATTACAAGTAAAGCCCACTTAACAGGCCCATCTGACGGGACCGCTCGGATTTTTTTGGAACAGGCAGGCACTGAAACTACCAACCTGTGAGTGTGACTTATGGCTTTGGGAACTAAAATGAGGCTCTTAGAGATGTAATCCTAACATACGAGTATCCAAATGCTAAGTTAATTTAGAATGAGAGGTGCAGTTGTCAGCAATGCTTTATGGCAGAGGTCTCAAACTCGCGGCCCGCGGGCCATTTGCGGCCCGCGGGATGATATTTTGTGGCCCCCTACTTGATATTAAAGTTTAATGTTAGTGCGGCCCGCCGTTGCGTTTGCCGCGTTTTTTTTTATTTTATCATTTTTATCCCTTATGGCTACCATAATGTAGTCTCGTGACAGCTTACCGTGTTTTGTTTCAATAGTTGTCATAGACACCACGAAGTACTGCGCCTGGAAAAAAATGAGCGCGTCGCTTCAATATGAGCGCGCTCGGCGCTTGATGCGCGCCTATTTGAAACCTACTTGAGCGTGCAAGAATATGTGAGCGTGATATGTGAACAGGCATAAGGCGAGCTACCACCACCAAATCAGGCCACAGCTACTGATTAGCTCGCGAGCGACGTGTTGGATATCCCTGCTCTAAAACAATGAATGTGAGAATTAATCATTTTGAGCTTGTAATATGTGTTGTGTCTGAACGCGTTCAATGACGATAGTTCATAAACTCGTTCATATTTTGGGCGAACGTGAACTGAACGTAACCTACTGTATTACTGCCTGATGAACGTTACAGTGAACTCGTTCATTCAAGTGTTTGTGAACGCGAGGAGCGAGGAGGCGTCGAAAGATCATTTAAAGGGTTTTATGAGGTCGGCGAGGATGGGAAAATCTTACATGTCTGTGCAAACTCTGCCGTCGATAAAATGATTGTTATCTGTGGTTGTATATGGGCTGTGGCAATAATAATAGCTTAATAATAAAAAAAGAGCTCGCAGCAACATATGGAAAAAAGAAAACTAGTTCATTTAAAATTTTGTGAATTGAACTTTGAACTAGTTCATGTAATGAACTTGGTTCCAACAGGTTGATAAAGGTTTGGGTTTGATTGTGCAAAGTCAGTAATTTCCCTGAGACACTATACATGTGTAGAAAGAATTATTTGTATTTCAAAAGCAGTAATTGTTTTTCTAAGTATAATAAAAGGAAATGTGCCTTTCGGGGAAAAAAACATTCAATATAATAGTGTTGTATAAAGAAAATAAAAGCAAATATGACTATCATCACAAAGATGTTGTGTATAAGAAAAAGACAAAGAAAGTTTGTAAAATTAACTCCAACTGTCCGAAGGACAGCTCATGAAGAACCAATCATGTACAGAAAGGAATGTTCAAATTCAGAGGAACAGTTCAGAGGAAACATTAATAATAAATATGAGAAGATTGGAATCAGTTGTGCTCCATTTTGGAATACTTAAATACATTTTT